AGGAACCCTGTATAGGGCATCATTTGGGTCACTGCCACTAGATCGGAAGTTACTTACTTATTCAACTGCAAAAAAGGGCAGACGCCAGCGCAATGGAAGATTGTAGCTCGGTTAAGGATTAAAAACTCTTGCCTGATCTTCAGGCATACAAATGTTCCCAAACATCGCACCTCTACCCTTCGAATGTATGAAAACCTTACTTTACTGGTATTTTATCTGAATAAATTATTTTCATGTTCTTTGGTGGATTTATTTATGCAAGGAAATATTCTCCTTTTAACCACTGATCAGAAGAAATTAAAAACTTTCTTATGGGGTATTATACTAAAAACTGCATGTGTATAAGTGGAGGAGATGGTCCCCTGTTTTTCTTCACTTTCATGCAGTCTAGGAATGCCAACTAAAATATTTTATATGAAGCTTTTACAATACATTTTGAACTGCTGCGCCGTTAAAAACTACTCCGATCATGTGGGGACGTTCATCTGATATTTTATCGAATGACCTTGCCTGATTAGCTAATCCTCCCAGTGATGGTGCCTGAATTCCTCTAGTCTGGAAAGGCTAGCCACCAGAAGCCGTGTGTGCGGTCGCACCAGTCTTGTACACGTAGAGCTGCCACCAGCACAGGTGTTGTGCCAATCCACAGTTTCCAGTAGCCACGCGCGCCACACAACGGAAGAGAGGGGGACGGAATTCAGGGGGGGGGGGCATGAGGGAGGTGGGGGAAGGGACGCAAATCGATGAATAATAGATCCCGTCTGTGTGCAACCAATCTTTGTGCCTCGCCTACACTCTCGGAGGCGATTGGGTTAGGACACTTCGTAGAGGAACATCAGCCTCTGTCAGCGCACTTTTCAGCAGTCAACAGGCGGAAGCGTTGGATTTCACCGTCGAAAATGTCGAACCGAGCGGGAGATATGGGCATGGATGTACAGGTCAACCGTAGGGTAAGCCAACACCAAATGTGAAATTGGTTTATGTACTATTGCTACTTAAAAGGTAAGGCATCCATGTCAATAAGTCCAGCTGCCGTGGTGATGATGGAGCCCTAGAAAGTATTTACACAGAACCGCTGTCCTTCCCATTTGTTTGAATTGTAAGCAATAAATGCGAGCTTGTAGTCTGATTTAAGAATCGTCCAAGGCCATTTCATGGATTATATAAGGTTTAAAACCACAAAATTTCGACTAAATTAGCCATTGAAAATTGTGAAATGCAATACTTTTCATAAAAGAAAGTCAGTTTACGAGTCCAATAAACAAACTGTCTATCAGTGTAAATTGCGTAGAATCTTTTCCTTTTTTTATCAGTCACAATGAGCTTGGGATTTGTTTCACTGTCTTCACCACCGTATTGTAGGATAACTAATACTCGTCTGATTTGATTAACACCAATTACCCTTGGTGATATTCGGTGAACACCTAGAAGCTCTATAGCTAAAAGTTGCTTTGGTTTTATATTAAACTCACTCTTTAGTTGTCTTTGATAAAGATACACAAAAATCATTCTAATCTTCCACTTTACATTTCTCCCTTATCCATCCTTCGGCCAACTCATTCATTCTTTTATCGAATTACCTCTTCATTTTTTGGCAAAATAATATTTATTATTGCAATCCTGACAACCTCTGACAGTGGTATTAATGTACATTCACGCCTTTTTCTGAAGTCATCGAATAAGGGTAGACTTGAAATTTTCCGATGAGATGCTGTACTGTCCGGTACTGTTTAGCAATGATAGATAGAAATCAAAGCTCTAAAAGCGGCCAACTTCTTGCATTAAAAATGATGAAAGCGTAAAGCCTAGCAAAATTTGAAGCGTTTTTTAAGCTTACTTTCCATTAATAAAAATGAATTTAGGTGTAAAGAAAACAGTCGTCCTAATTTCAAAGGCCTTGGCATCTGTCACGTTAAGCCGATATTATCTCAGCAGTGATCCTGAGGCACTCAAAGTACCATCCTGTTGATTTTAACCTCACACGGCATGAGATGAGCAGCGTGTGAACGCCTATTTACCTTAGTGAATGCATTTACAAAATACAAGCATCCATGATCCAAATGCTGGTACAAATTCAGTGCTGCAAGCGCTAACATTTTCCTGCTGTACATGGGTATTTCTCAGGAACTTTTTTTAAAATTTTAACAGTACGGAAGCAATATGCACGTTAAAGTCATCGGATCAACAGATTACTCTAAAAATTCACTGTCATGCAACCATTGCAGCAAAAAAGAGCGCCAACTTGAGGTAAACTTTTGGCACCAGAGGAGCCAACTGGAAAATGCGAAAAGATCAACAAACTAACATGAATGAGACGTGGTTGTCCAGTTTAACATACTTCAACCTCGTCACAAAATTTGAAGAATATATTGTTCTGTAGGTGGACGCCCTTGCATGTCGCATTTACTACGTCGTCATAGTACTCGTGTTCGCACATGGTACTTTACTGGAGGGTGAGGGAGGGAAAGTGGAAGTTTTAAAGGAAACACTGCGTAATGTTGGGGCTTAGGACCTCTGAAATTTTTTAGTTGAACAGCAGGTACGATGCAGACACTGAGAAGGAAGTTGTTCAGTGGATCAACCAATTGACCGGTGAAAATGTGCCGCTGGGGCGAGAAAATGTTGCTGCTGCCCTGAAGAACGGTCAAATTCTTATTAAGTAAGTTTAAAGTATCAAATAGAATGATTAAGACACCGTTTCTTTCCTCATTGCGGGTTAGGAAATGCTTAAAGTAAACTGAAATAAGTAGATTGCCATTGGATCAGAAGGTTTTTGGGTTTTGACGGTATTTCATTTATCAGTTGTGATGTCATTCATCCTAACACATTTTCGGGTAACTACTTTGTGTCTAGCTTCGATCACCTCGCAATGATTAAACCCATAATTATAGGTTGATAGCGTCAAATATCCAGATCTTCTAAGCTAAAGATCACAGCATAAAACCCTCGTTAGCATAAAATTTCCCAAAATAACAGTTTTCAAACTGAAAAGTTCCTCAATTAGTTTTTAAGGCTATTGACAAATGAAGACAAATAAGTAAAAATGCAACATAATGTGATGTATTGAATCTCATCAATTGTCTTACAAAACCCATTGAAGGCTGGTGAACAAAGTGTACGAAGGCACGAACCCACTCCCACCGACAGTCACGAAGAAAAAGCATCCGTTCAAGGCCAACACCATGTCCGCGCCTTTCAAGCAGGTGAGCCGCTCCCCCAGTCCCCCAATGATCCAAACCATTGGATTTGTTCCATTGCATTATGGTAATTGGGACTACCAGTGGTTTTGAAAATGTCACAGTAGAGTAGGTTCTCTCACGCCTTTGAAAATATTTGCGTGCAAATAAGGGCGTAGTATGCTGATGATGTTGGAAGGTGCAGTTGATTAAACTGTTAAGTAAATTATGGTGGACTGCATTATTGTGAGTAGTTATCCAAGGGACAAATGTTATTCTCAAGATTGTTAGTCAAAAATTTCAGAACAGGCGCATTGTGGAAGTTGTTTTATGTTTGCAAATAATTTTGTGGTAAAAAATGTTCCATGAGTACACTTTACCATAGATGTGCTCTTTGTCAACCTTAAAGTTAATAAGCACACTACTATACTAGTGACACCATTCTTCATGCCTAATCTTTTTCCATTTTAACTAAGAAACAGCCCTAAATCATACATGCCCCGCAGAAGATAATCTCTGTTTAATCACTACTTAAACCAACGGAAGAAATGCTTAATGGATCTAAACATCTCCTTATGTTCCCCCTAGATGGAGAATATTCAAATTTTCCTGACGGCTGCTGAAGCCTATGGAGTGCCCCGCACTAGCCTATTCCAGACCGTGGATCTCTTCGAGATGAGAAACATGGCTCAGGTTCTCAGCTGCCTCCTTCAACTTGGAACTGAAGTGAGCTACCATTGTGTTATGTTGTTAGAAGATGCCAATTTTTATGTTCTACCAGTAAGCTGACTATACCGCTTCGACCACACTGGATCAGTGAGAAGACGTCAAGTTGCTCTTGGCGACTGCTAATATTGTTACCCCAAGCAAATATTTGCCATTGCAAATACTGTCGAGCCTTTAAAGTTCATAGCGAGGAGGTCCGAAAAGGCTCTAGGAAGCTTCGATTGAACTGTCGTAATGATCCAATCAAAATGTGGTTCATCCTCACGACCAATGGCGGAGCAGTAAGGACCACGCATGCTTATACGGGGGCGGAGTGTCCTACCAATGACAGTGCGCCAGTGGTAACGTTTCATTGATCGCCTTAATAGGCGCGGGTCTGATAGTACGCAAGTCAACGCCTTCATTTCAACGTCCAAAATTTCATGCATACCTAATCCACTGACTCCGGAAAATAGCGTTGAGCAAAGCCAGAATTACACAATGATGGAATCCTTATTGTTTTTAATTAGTTACTTCCAATGAATGTATCCACACTTTGGAGAGTTATGATAAAAAAGTTTAATTTTCCTTTTCCAAAACGGTTAAGTTAATTTGCTTTCTATTAGTGGCGTCAAACTGTACAATTTGTGGACATGTTCGCGGATGAAAACATCCGCTTGGAGCCTTCTATCCTCAGATAAAAGTAAAATGGGATGTTTACCTGAAAGTTCTGTGTTGAGACTTATGAGTAAGACAGAGATAACATGCCTATCATCCTCACTTAATTATAACTTTGGATAAGTATGCCCATTGATTAAACACTTATCTGAAGGGATGGCCATTTAATGTGATGTAAAGATGCTGCGCTTGGATAGGTGATGAAGCTTACAAATGATGTTGTCGTGCTTGTTTAACGCTTAAAATATTCGCGACTGATATATGCTTTGCAAATTAGGATACTGTTGGGAAATAGTCGATTAGTAACCTCTCATGAAAACCAGCATATATAAGGTCGTCATAAAGACTATTTGAAATAATGGAATGGAGTGTTTTCATTATTTTAGTGCCAACGAAATAACTTCAATGGGCCGACCTGTGGACCGAAACCCACCTACGAAAACAAGCGTGAGTTCACCGAAGACCAATTGGCCGCCTCAAAGACTGTAATCGGTCTGCAGGCGGGCTCAAACAAAGGCGCCAGCCAGAAGGGCATGAGCATAGGTGCTGTTCGCCACATAGCCGACATAAAAGCAGACGACATGTCAAAAGAAGGCCAAGGCATTATTGGCCTGCAGGCGGGCTCGAACAAGGGTGCCAGCCAGAGCGGAATGGCCATGGGTGCAGTACGGCATATTGCGGACATGAAGATTGGCGAAATGTCGGACGCTGCCAAGACTTCTCTCAACCTCCAGACGGGCACCAACAAGGGCGCTAGCCAATCGGGTATGGCCATGGGAGCTATCCGTCACATTGCGGATCAGAAACTGACAGAGATGTCAGCTGAAGGCAAGAGCACAATTGGCCTGCAGGCTGGCTCGAACAAGGGCGCTAGTCAGAGTGGCATGTCCATGGGCGCTATGCGTCATGTGGCCGATCTAAAAGTGGATCAAATGTCCAAGGAGGGCCAGAGTGTCATTGGTCTGCAGGCGGGCTCGAACTTGGGTGCTAGCCAGAGCGGAATGTCCATGGGCGCGATGCGTCACATAACTGACATAAAGGTGGACGAGATGAGCAAAGAAGGCCAGGGTGTAATTGGCTTGCAAGCAGGAACCAACCAATTTGCGAATCAGTCGGGAATGAGCATGGGCGCCAGACGTCATGTTGCCGATATCAAGGTTGGAGATATGTCGAAAGATAGTGCAGGCATAATAGGGCTTCAGTCGGGCTCGAACCAGGGCTCAAGTCAGGCTGGAATGAGCTTCGGTGCTCAACGGCACATCACTGATGTCAAAGTGGGAGAACTGGAGTAGACGTTCCCAATTTATTCGTTGTCCTCCATAAGTATCTGTTACATCGTTTCAACATTGCGACGACTTGCTCCTTTGCCTGATATTTACTAAGATTTTCTTTTAATTTCGCCTGCCATAATTAATTGCATCTTTATCCGTTGAGAACTGATATCACAAAGCCTGCAACTTTCGGGATTTTCTGTGTCACAAGAGGAAATATATGACATACAAGATCCCCTTTTGGCTACTGATTTTACTCTTGAGGAAAATCACACTTTTTCCGGCAGTTTTTGTATTGCTACTAATGTGGTGAAATAGCCATATATTTGGAGGAAAATGAAATTATGAAATCACCTATACAGTATCATAGAACTGCGCAGATTTTGGGATATTCCTACTTAAAAATGAACTTTATTAATAATAGAAGGTGTTGGGTGGAAGAATTGAGGGAGGATTTAAACGTAATAAAACGTCTTTAATCCGTGTGTGCATAGGAAAAAGATGAAAATGTGAAGGAGTTCTTTGTGGCAATAAATACAAGTCTGACTTTCCAACTACAAAACTCAGATGAAGCGAAACCCAGTCAGCATACGTGATTGAAGACCAGCATTGAGATATCTTTGCATCGATTTTGGTTTTCGTTTCACCATGTGCGTATACCCGCGGGCGCTTCAGTTGCAGTGGATTGTCTCCCAACTCCGCGAACTCAATCCTAAAGTACAGTGTTGTCATTGTTAAGGCTGAATGCTATTGAAGCGCTTTAAGACTTCACTAAAGACAAAAGAGGGCACTCTGCTCGGTCGGAATGTGTATTTTAGACCTACAGAAGGGTTTGAGGCTACTGGCATGGCCCAAGGGCCAGCTCATCCGGCAAAGGTATAATGGCGGAGCTCCTAAGCGATTCCTTTACCAAAACTGAGGGTTAAACAGAAAACACATTAGGCCATGCTTTAACATGACAGTTAAGGTAAATTCATCTCTTTGCCGCGGCTGGATGAATATGTGAAGACTGCCGACAGATTAGTTCGAATGACTTTTACCATTGGTTATTACTTCAGTTTTGCGTTTTTCAAAATTATCATTAAGATTTGGGCGGCACTGGAATTGGAATATTGGTAGAAGTCCACAGCGACTGCAAGAAAATGGCAGCTACGCGTACAAACTACATTTCCCATCTCCATCCCCCCATCCACGTGTCTACCAGCCGAATGGAACCCTGATAGACGGGGAGCACCGGACAGAAAATGAGTGGGCAAGGGGGAATTAACGCGGCATATTAGGCTTCTGACGCCAATTTAAATATTGCCTTTTATTAAACAATGGAACCCATCTGCGATTGCTGCTGAATTGCTGAAGTGCCATTGATATTGAGATCAAATGCCTTCTTATATGCAGGAATCTGCAATAGCAGACGTTGGTGATTTATAGATGGTTTTAGGGGATTGATTACTTGCAGTGGTTAATGCGGTGGTTGCGAAGGCAAAGTGCTGAGGACGATGCTTAAAGGATGAGAGGAGCTGTGCAGTAATACAATACATTGTAAACTATGTGTTCATGAGCATTGACAAGTTGGGCTGTGCTGGTTATAATACTTTGGTTGTTTGGATCCCGGTTTTGGTAAAGGGACACTATGGCTTGGCCATTGTACCCTCGCCGAGTGGGCTGGCCTATAGGCCATGTCAGTAGCCCCAACCCCTGCTGTATATTAAAATTATACATTTGGCCAAAGTATTGTCTGCCTTAGTCTTCAGGGAAGTCTTAAGGCACCGCACTAGTAGGCTTTCATGATACATGGTTTTCTAAGAAACTTCACTGGGGGCTTGAGACGCTATGTGAAACCAGAGCCACTAAATCGACTTGTCGTGTTGGCCAATCTCCATTATAATTGTTAAGTATTTTAATGCGTCACTAAAAATTAGCTGCGTTATCAGATAAAATTAAGGGGTGTTGAGTAGATAGTGAGTCTGTTAAGGGACATGCGTTAAGGCGATCTGGGAAGTAAATGTTCGCCTGGAAAATTACAACGAAAATGTCCTTTTGAACATTGACAGGCACCCTTAAGAAGATTTATTATGCAAAAAAACAAATACTTTTTTGCCATTCGCTTGAATACATCAAATAGAACATCTGCTTCAGTGAAAAACTGGTAATAGGGTCAGCAAAAACACTTTTGTATATAGTAATAGGATGCTAAATCCTGTTGGTTTTACGATGCTGATTCAAAGTTTAGCAATAAAATATTGCAAACTGCATGGTATTTTAAATATTACCTAGTGTTAATTTGCACTACTCAGGCAATAAAATAGCCTTTAAAATAACCAAAAATATGTGCATTTGCAAACAATAAATTTAAAAAAATCGTTATTTTTTTTGCTAAAACAAAACACTTTATTTGTTTTTAGAGTATTTTTTGCAAAATTGCTCGCTTGTTTTAGTTAGTCCTATGGCAACTCCCATATTGCGTTTCGTGTTAGTACTTGTCATTTGTGCTTCGTGGGTCCTAGATCAGGGGTTTTGCGTTAGGTCATAACATAAGGCATGAGTGATAGTGCTGATTTCGAAGAGGGTGAGGTCGATGATTTAAGTGACTTCGAGGATGGGAATCCGGGCGACGCTGGCACTGTTTTTCCTTTGGGCGATGGTTCATGTGATGAATCGCCATCACATAGGAGCGCCTCACATGGTAGCTGGCGTGAGGCACATAGAAGTAAGGAAGTGACAGACATGGGCATGAGTCATAAGCATGGAGAACGAACTAGGGAGTCCTTATTGCGGTTTTTGTCTGACGATGAGCCCACTTCCCGGCGCAAGGTAATGTCTCCCCATTGAAAACGAATTGGCAGAATTCCGGCACGAAGCGGAAGAGGAAGAGGCGCGAATGGGTACCGTGTAGTGGTGAGCGAGCTGCAGGGACGAGACAGGACAGAGCGAAATGCCGATTCTATCTCGAGGGTCGCTGCAACAAGGTTGGAGGTTTTTTACTTGCTAATTTCTTAGGGATACGAGTGTCCATTTAGTCATGGTTTTACGCCTGCCAAAAAGCAGGAACTCTGCAAGTTTTATGCAACCAGTAGCTGCAGTAAGGGATCTAGTTGCCCTTTTCTGCATGGCGAGTTCCCATGCAAGTTTTTTCATCTATCGAAGAATTGCTATCATGGTAGCAGTTGCAAGTTTTCTCACAAGCCTCTCACCCCATCTACACGATCATTGTTGGATAAACTCGTAGATGACCAGGTAATGTGGTGGTTTAGTTAACTGGGTTCAGAATCGCAGTTCACGTTCCGGGGAGAACGCCAGTTTCAATCGAGAGGTTTCGTCCGTGTACGCGCCCTCCCTGACTCAATTTCCGCATGGTGCATTAACGGAGCCCTACGGTGATGTAGACTATCGGCAGATGGTTCATTCGGGGTGAGTTTGGTCGTTTCTTGCTACTTTACGGACTTTGATCGTCATGACTTACCTTTCTCTACTCCTTACAAACGCTTGAGGTGTTCATGTCATCGACATCGATCAAAGTGTTGACCATTTCCCTCAGTGGACATGTTCTTATATCTTGTTCGATAACCTTCCCTATGATTCCTTTTGTGGAAATTTAAGTTACCTTTTTACCCATTTTACACCTACTTAAAAAGCATCAAATCACCTACTTAAATGCATTACAGTAAAATAACTTGTTCAAACAAATCTTTATGCCACTAATTCTGTTGAGTTTATTACCCCCAATTTCATTGGGTTTAGTCCGAATATGCATATTTAAACTGTCACATATCGTTTGAGAGGTCAGTGTATGAGTGATTTTAGTATCAATGCTTCATGTGAATCACATGGTCCGCTTTCAGCTCACCCGGTATGGCGATACAGCCCGGTGTTCCATGTGGCCTCCAACCCTCCCCACAGGCAGCTGGTCGCAGACCGCCCCTAGAATCGCATCCACAGCATTTTCGACGCCCCATTGATGAAAGTCATCCGCGTCCACCACCAGGCTACGGTGGGCCCCCGCCCTTCCGCGGACCATTCCCACCACCCTACCGCTTTCATCCCGGAAAATCATACCCGCTTCCACATCGGCCTCCATTGGCGAGTGGCAATCGCGAACTCCCCATGCCTTATCCGCCACCAAGATTCCGACCCCCATATCATGACAATGGTGGAGATAACTTTTACAACAACCCTTCAACGAATCCTGATGATTATTCTCCCGAGCAGGTCACTAAGATTACGGTAGATCTTCGCTTTTTCGTCAATTTAGAAGCCATACCGACTTTTTTGTTCATTGAGGGCCCCACATTGCTTTCATTTTTATTTATCCTGGTGGATTTTCCTATCAATTCCAAACGCCTGCTGTGCGTATCTAACCCGAGCTTTGATTTTTCCATAGTTGTACCACTTCACGGATTAGCTGGACCTCCGTTAAGCTGAATTTATCGATTATTCTCCAACTTTATAGGATTTGAAAAAACAGGAAACTAAACCCTCCAGCCCATCTCCCCAGAGATCTCCGATAAATGACCAATGCGAGATTCCTCCGAAAATGACGGTTAGTAAGGACATCGTTGTATACTTGAACGAGAAAACTAGCACAGGTACTCCTTCTGTGACTTTCAAATGGCATGTCATACCCCTTGAGCTCGATAAAAACCCTCGTCAGCTGCCTCCTTCGGCTGCCAACGCCAACCCTGCCGATCCTCGGCTGAAGGCCCGACCTCAATTGCCAGTTTTGTTGAATATCCCTTCCGCTTCTGCTGAGGAAAAACAATCGGAAGTGAAGAGTCTTCCCCAGTCGGAGCGCAGAAAACGTCCGAAACTTACATTGAACGAAATGGCAAATACGTTCGCCAGAACAGGTCATCGAGTTCAGTCGAAAACGCCGGTCCTTTATTCAAATATACTGGACCCAAGATTATTGAAGCGGCAAAAAATTGGAAGCGAGGCGGCATCGCCTGGGGCTGTCCCCGAAGAAGAGCAGTCCCTAACACCCAAAGCGTTGCGAGTCGTTTTCTCGCCGTGATGATGAGCGAACTACCTTTTCTAAAGATTTTTATATTAAAATCAGTACCTCAGCAGTTGCATGTACGCGGAGTGGCTGTTTACACAGGTACCCGCGTGCATGCCGAAACCGCGTGTATACATTTTAGTGACGTACTGTATTTTTAAGTGTCACCAATTATGATCATCATGATTCCCAAGATGACAACAAGTATTTGTACTTATAGGGTATATTTGAGGCAGGAAATTTGAAGGGTAGACACGATCCGAGGTGAGGATTCACACCTGGAAACTGCCGTACTGTTGGTTCCACGATAGGTAGTGTTGTAGATCGCTTGGAGAGACGCTCGCCTTCACGTGTTTAAAAGCCATCAGGAAATCGCTCATTTGAACCGGCGGGACCTGAACGCAAAAAAGAGGCATCCCCTATCATTGCCGAGCAGAAAAAAAGGTAAAGTTTCTCCTTTAATAAGGCACTCGGATTCTGCTTCGTACGTTTGGATGGCGGTGATCTCGTCAAAGGCTGGATGTGGTGTACGTTTTCATAACTTAAATGCTGGTTTACGCCGTTTGTCAGGTTTAGCCATCACTCAGAGCCAGATTTAAATTTGACAGGAAATGGAGGTCAACTTACGTCTTGGCAGGAGATCGATTGAATGACCTCTAGTGGCAATCCCCGGATAGGACCCATAGCGGCCTCCCGACAAAGATTAGCGACGTCCGCGCCAGAAAAACCTAGCAAAAAACTTGATTATGACGAAGTAGCCATGTAAAACTAAATGTATTCAAGCATTCAATTCGGCATTGAAATGTAACCACGAAGGGAAAGCACCTTCGGATTTCACGGCAATTGTGTCGAGGTCGTCCAGCGTCAGGTTATTTTTTTGTTGTTGGATGAGTCGATCCACGATCTCCCTCCTAGCCTCCTGGCACGGGAGGGGAATGTAAAGTCGTTTGACGAAACGCCTTCTTGCTGCTTCGTCCAGCTCTTGAGGTCTACAATAGTTTGATTTGAACGACCAGATGGAATGTTGCAAACTCGAAGAGGGCATTTCTTACCGGTTGGTTGCACCGATGAGAAGGAGCCGGTCCTCGGATCCAGTGGCTACACCGTCCTAATAAGGTCAACAAGCAAGTACACTTGAAGGTAGGAGTATGGAGCCACTTGTATCACCATTGCCTTGCGGGCAAGTACGCGGGCTTAGGCTTTGATGAACTCACCAGCTGAATCAAAAACTCGGTCTTTATGCGTCGGCTTGACTCGTGTTCCGTTTCGCTACGTTGCGAAAGGAGCGAGTCGATCTCGTCGATAAAGATGACCGATGGCTGATGAATGCGAGCAACCGTAAAAAGTGCTCGAACCATTTTCTCCCCATCGCCGACCTTTAAAATTAAATGCCTGAGTTTCAATAAATCTCCTTGAAGAGGCAAAATTGACTTAGGGTAACTCAAACATGAAACCCTTAAATTGGGATGTTCAAAAGTGGTGGCAGTACCTGTCTGTCACTGGTTTAACTCTTAAACAAGAGCAATTAAAAGTTGTAAAAGGTGAAAATTGATTCATATCAGCTCTCTAAATAAAATCACAAAAAAGCGGAGGTTGAAGTACTCCAATTTCATCCAAAAAGGATGAACTAGGAGGTACGGCAAATCCTAAACTAGGTAAGCGCCAATACCTCGGTACCAGCTTACAAGGTAATGCGATTCTTGCTTTTAGCAATGTTTAAATGCCGAGAAAGAGAAGACATCTCAAGTAATTTTAAATACCCATTTTGAAGTGAGGGAGGATGCGCTGATGCTGAAGAAAGTCGATTGGCTTGTCGAGGCAATGCATTTCCCTAAATAAAAGACTTCAACTTGAAAGGAGGAGAAACACTATCGTCAGCAGCATTAGGCTTGCCCGGATTAACATAATTCAAGTACGTGGGAGGTTTTGCACCCTAGAAATGTTTCAAAATAATGCTTAAGCGGGGACTTTTCTGTAGAAAAATCTAGGAGTTGCGCACCGATCAGAGTTTTGCCTGTTCCCGGCGGACCAAAGAGCAGTAGGCCTCTCGGTGGACCCCGGAGACCGGTGAAGATATCTCTGAAATGAGACGGTAATTGTAATTGCAGAGTAGAAGGTTGGTATGACGGCCTTAGGATTGTGGGTTCGTCATTTCACACTCACGGACGAAGCATAGGGAAGATAACGACTTCCTTCAATGTCGATTTTACGCTGTGTAATCCGGCTATGTCTTCCCACGTGATTCTCGTTTTGGAATCCATAATCTAACAATCAAAAAACAACGCGTATAGTGTTTTGGGTTACAGAGCAATGTAGGGGGCTGTAGAAACCGGTGTCACACCGAAAAAAAGTACAAGTACATAGACGAGCAAAGTTGTTGCCCCAGCCTATGTGCCCATTGATCCGAAGCCTCCACTTTCTTGTGTTAAACGTTGGATAACATTCCTCGGTGCTTCAGAATCATTGGGAGCTCACGGGTTTGCACATTATCAGTAGGACCTATTCTGAATAAACAATCGGAAACCCGATGAGATATTGCTCACTGCTAAGTTATAAAGGATGTCCGATGCACCATTAAGGATGAGAAGTGGACAGGGAATGCACCACGAAGACCCGTCTTACCTCGCTCATGATGAGATCAATGATCTTCTGGTCAAACTGCTTAAGGCGCTCATCCACGAGAGCACTATCTCCATTCTCAGGGGTCGTTGTCGGTCGCGGAGCCAAGGTGTCCTGACGGTTGAAACCAGAGTCTGGTGCCGCCGATTGTTGCGCTTCGTTTGATCTTGCAAATGGTGGCACAAATGCTGTGCGGGAACAACGACTAAAGCGACGATACAAAGACAGATAATGCTGGAAGAGCTGATGATAAATGTGATAAATTTCCTAAATCCCTCTGAATTTAATAGCAACAACCAAGATGTCGGTTTTACAAACACCAGAAGCACCGTTGCAAAGTAATAAACCAAAAAGAATTCACGAGATTAATTTATTTTGATGGTAAAAATTACAAGATGCCATGTTTTCACATGCGTGTGGTGCAGCGGCAAGTACTGAGGCTGGATGCATTGGGGCACGTGAACTTCATCCTTTTCAAAACTAAATGGGTAATGTGTGTCATTTAGCCCTAAACTACAATTCCGTCTCTGATACCGTTTCTGCGGTTTGAAGGATTCTGCTGATAAAGCAGTCTTGGGAAGTTTTTGTCTGACCTTTTGCTTGTTAACAAGTGTAAAATCAAAGGTGACTAAACCGTCTGGGTGGGCTAAGATACCGTATTAAATCACAAATTGATGAAAAGTGGGTTAGAGCCCGAACTTGATTATGAAGGGCAACACCACCCAAACTTGAAAAGGCTGCTGCAGACCAGTGGCTCACCTGCCCAATGTCTTTTTGAGTTCCGGTCTTGACACCGCGGAACCTGGTTGTCCGGATTGTTGCACCTGGGTATTTACTAAAAGCTGAAGTGTAAAAGCGTTTTCAGTGCGCTTAATGATGCTTTCATGACCTTACTCCGCCTTGATAAAGCGTGATCTACTCGTTATCAGGTCACTTTAAAAAGCTTTAAGCTGCTACCGCAGTAACATTTAAAAGTCTGAAACCACTCAAAGCTGACATGTTCAAAAAATTATATCGCATTTCCTTACCATGACAAATCATGAATCAGCTTTACATCTCTATGTCACAGCTGTACAACAAAAAAATAATTATCAAGACATAAATTTAAAAACCTAGAGAAAATTGGATTTTTTCCCCCAGTGAATGCCTATCTGCGATAAGACTATGCCCCCACAGTGGGAAGGGAAAGCGAACCCACAAATACCAAGGAGGGCTAGGCATGGTAAGAATAGGGGAAAAAAATTGTTCGTGTAAGAGACGTACTTGCTGTCTTGCGCTGATGAAAGTTGGTCTGCATTCTTTGAAATTCCCACAATTTGGTGATGGCTTTGGGATGTTAAAAAATATTTAATACCACATATTGATAATTGCTAGGTCAAAAGTGGGATTGACAGTCCATCCTAATTTACAGTAGGATATATAGGCAATCATGCATATAATATCATTAATTAGCGCGTAAAAGCAATTAACTTTAAACTTAATTGCTATGCATGGAATTAAAGCCTTTGTTTGGAGAAAAACAACAAAGTACAAAGGTGCCAGCCATTCTCAAGTGAAAAGGGGTGTGATCGGTTAGTGGAAAAAAGTATAAACCAAGATAAGTTTTCACTCTTTTAAATCGCACACTTGCAATCAGGTGCGAAGTTTTGGAAAACCACGATGTAACAGGAGAGCGTGTTTTGCAAAGATCGGATAATTAAAGAATAAGGGCTTTATATGAACATGACGCGCATTATAGTCAATCGATACGCGTTGGGCGAGGCAGTTTGACGAGACCTGACACTCAAGCTGCAAAAGGTCATGGAAAAGCTAAAAAAAAGATATTTAAACAATATTTCACTTAGAAACAATCGCAAAGCGATCCATAAATGCGATGAGAGCCTAGGCTGATTGATAAAAGAATACTAAGCATTATAAATGGATAAGTCGATAATTTAAGCAACGGATGCAAAGCCAATGATACACCTCAAGGTGCGAAAATGGTGCATACTTAAAAAGTACGCTTGTTTTTAAGTGTTAAAATTAGGTTTTGGAGCACACTTACACGTTAAAAATTAATGCAATCAAAGGCGTTTTAACTTATTGCGAGAAAGTGGAATTACATCAATGACATGCTTCACCGGTCTACCGATGTATGTTCTTCCGCTAAAGTTGCTTACCGTTACCTAAAAAGCAAATGGGGACTTCGGAATCAAAAGATTATAAGCAGTAGATCATATATAAGAGAGTAGAAGGCGAAATTTTCGAAACATTTTCCAGGACTCGGTGGAGCTTTGGTTCACCGGTTGATTAGAGAAGCAACAGTAACAACACAGTTGTTCTCCCAACAACCAATACAGATCAAAATGGTATACTGGTAGACTAAAATACCATAACACAAATAACGAACCAAAATCGGTCTGTCACATAGCCTACAATCATAGAAATATCAATGCTTGGCTCAGTGATCTTCAAGTATTAGATACTTGACAACCTGTAGAGCAGCAAACAGGTTCGATGTGGCTATACATGTGAAGCCCTACAAGCAAAAGAGGGGTATAAAACCGAGGAAAAGAGAACCAAACTTGGAAGGAAATTTAGAAAGAACCATTCAACACTAACAGTCTACCTCACGTCAATTTTTTGACTTACTTTGGGGGGTGGAAGAGCGTTCACACTGAGGAGGCTAGTATTTTCTTTCACGATGGGCTCACGCGAGATTTTGGCGAATTGAGCTCTGCGATTTAGCAAATTGCCACCTCGAACAGGTGCTCTCACTACCATTTCCTGCAAGATTGGCATTCCATTATTTCATACGTTATCCGTCGTGCAGTGAACTCGATTTGCCGTACAGTAGGCAAAAATCAATGCCACCTTGATCAATATGAAACTCACCAAATCCGATGCTTTCTTGAATACTTTGTTGATGACATCGCTAACTATATAGTGGGCATGTTAAACTGGGCAAAACACTTACGCCGCTGAGCTGAAGAGCTGGTAATGTTGCGAATGCCGGCCAGAGGGGATCCGTAGTCTAGCAAGGGTTCCTAAAATGATAGGTGATTTATATCAAAATCACACCTCTTTAATCCGACCAGTTATCAAGTTCACATCGAAAGTGCTTCTCCACTCAGGCGTCCCTATCGACCATAGCGATTAAAGTTAGATGCCTTACCACCACCTTCATCCTTACCATTTTCCAGCACTTCTTCAGCAAAATTATTTGCTCCTGAGCGTAATTACAAAAAATTGGAAAATAAATGGCAAACGCAAAAGAGCAGTATATTTCTTGTAGCAAGAAGAGGGAATGATTGGATACTTCACATATCAGTACAAAAATAGGGAATAAACAACGCAATTTTTGATTGCAAAGGACCACGTGATTAATGAAATCTGTTGTCTTAACAAATGCACACGTTTTTAGAGTAACTGAAAAAGATAGCACCCTAAATTAACGCAGTACTAACGTTTAATCATCACGCACTCATACAGTGAATGAAAGCAGAACTATAACAGGGCTTTCATATAGGCCACTAACTGAAGACTTATACTGAAGTGATTACGCTAAACTAGGAACTGTACAATAAAAGTAGCTGCATTTAGACGTGTGAAAAAAGACGTCTAAACATTAATGAAAGCATGTGACATAAATAAACACCCGAGATTTAACAAGATAAAGGCGGTGATTTTAGAAAAGAACACATACGTGATGGACAGCGTACAAACCACTGTTTCTCTGGTATTTTTTACTACTACACCCACGCTAATAAATACGCATTACGCCAAGATACCAGCACATTCAGAAAACAAAACATAAAGTCTGTAAAACCTGAGGTCTACAGATGCATAGGCCACAGTGCCGAATGAAGTCATGAATATGGGGACAACTCCAAATAAAACCCGCAGACTTAACCGTATCTACTCATTATTAAGAAGATGTTAACAAAGGGGTTACCAATTATGTATGTAGGGTCACAATAATACGTAGTCACAATACCGCATGGTATTTCTACCTTCTTGGATGTTGTCCACATAATATTGATAATGGCGTTGAATTTCAGAAAATGACGAAGAACTAATGAGTAACAGAATAATTCATAAATCCCACCTTGGAGGTACGTGCTGTAGAGCTTGACGAAGTAATTCCACTCGCGAGTTCTTGGATGAAAATAGTCTTCGCCAATCCTCGAGAACATACGAGGTATCCATAGCCTTAAAGTGCCCGGAATACAAATACTTTGCTGTCATCTACACATTCAAAAAGATGTCCAAAAGTTAAATGATTTCCGTTATGTCTAGCGTTGTCTTAAAAATGCCTATTTTAATATTTTTACCGTAGCTTTTGATAGGGTCAATGCGTTTAACTTAGAGCCTATGATTTTGATGCACTTTGCTCAAATGTTGATGGCATGTCTACCACTATACCTTATTGACTATTAGGTCGTGTAAGCGTCACGCTTTTGTAGTGGTGTATGCTAACATTAATATAAAGGCTATGAGTTCATGGAATTTTTGTAGCACTATTTCCTACATTGTACAACACATGTTAAAAACGTGTGCTAAAAATCACTATTGACATCTAGACCCAAAAAAGGCATAAATCTTATGCTGAATCGAATGGACAATGGGAACAACCGCAACACTTTCCTGTGGTAGAAGTTATAGTTTGATTCACTTTGCCCAAAACATATATGGCCCCAACTCAGCCTGCCAATTTCAATGGGTTTTGGCCTCAGTGCGCATCGCCGCCGTTGAGGTTGTTTTAGCATTTGTAATTTAAGTCCTGGTCGTCACACATTGCTTGTAATGATTCCTGTTTAAAATAAATTTTTTGGTTCTGTTTCTACATTCACCCTTGTAGAAATTCCCATGTAATTCTTCCCTAGCCCATAACTTTACTCAGCAATCCACGACATTAAACGTCCTTCCTGAAGAAATTTGTTGTTTCTATGTCTCTTTAAAATATTTGCATTTTTCAGTAAGTCGTGTTTTGTGCAGCAAATTTTGCATCTTACACCCGCTCCCAACCAAGTATACTACTTTGTCGCTGATTCATAATTTCCCGTTCGCAGAATCGTGATCTTAGTACTACCGCACATTTCCGGTAATTGATTTCATAGAGCATGAAACGTTACTCGCGATTCCTTCCGTGAATCCTAGTAACTGGCACATTAAGTTTACTCATTTTCTGACAATCAAACCTTAATATAATCCATCTAATTATTGCACTAAACGGGTTTGTCCTAAGCCACAAATTTTGTTGACCATTACATTTTGAATCAATTACTATCATATACCGAGTATCTTGTCTTGTCTTGCCTTTGATGGGGAAATCCTTCAATATCGCATGATGTAGTCAGTTGGACACCCTACACCCCTTGGTGAATCAGTGTTTTAGTTTCAATAATTTATCTGACATAGATCTCTCAGCTCCACTTTTGAACACATAATTGTGTTTGCCTGTTATTTATCGTTTGGGAACGCTGTAGTTCCACCTATTTGGACGTGGGAGGGCCACTTCCAGGGCTCATTTGTTTCCGTCAAGTGGCTTTTTACCAACTGGTGGTATGCGGCGGAGACGGGACGATCGGGTGAATGCTTTCTCGCTTGGACAGTGTGGGTCAGGATGCGGCGTGCCACTCGCCACCCATCGCCCTCCTACCCCTGGGCACTGGCAACGGTCTCATCCGCGTTCTCAACTGGGGTGTCGGCTGTACTTCCGCCGAGGCGCCCCTTTTCAACCTCAAAAACATCGCTGCCGCCTGAGGGTCCGTCTCGACTGGTGCGTCTTTCCCCTCTCCCGCCGATCCCCTTCTTTTACCGTTTATAACCGCCCGAAGTGCGTTGTATGAATTATCCTATGCTCTCCCCTTCCATGCCTCCAATTCCATAAAAAAGCCAGATTCACTTTTTGTGACTGTTTTTAACTGCAAAATCTTTTTTGAGCCTCGATTTTCCTTTTCGAGGTTCAGGTAGCTAAATTTTAATGCAGTGGTTTTAACTTAACTTTTATACTTTTTCCTCGCTTATCGTGCCATCAAATAAAGTTTAGAGGAACACTTGCCCCAAAGCCAGCGTGTTTCCACTTTCTTCCAAACTGGAAGTAATTTACAACGTCTCAACTCTTTAGGGAGTTAATCACAAATATCATAGTCTGAAATGTGAGTCGTTAATCATTCACTAGTGTTTTTGTTACTGGCCACCAACTCAGCTGTAAGGCATCTTCCCCGTTGCAGGTGGACGCTGGCGGGTCGATCAGATGAGCAGATGGAAGACGAGGTGAAAGCAGCTCTGCATACTTAGACGAACTCGTTGAATACCACGGGGGACAATTCCTTCATGGTTATCATGAACAATTGCTTCGGCATTGGAGTCGATGCCGCCCCCACCCTCAACTTCAACAATGCGGGCTCCAAGAACCCCTCCAAGTTTAACAGCCGGTATGTTTAGGACTCACTGTGTGTCCATTTCAAGTGACGCTTATTTTGATTGATTTGTCTTGTAGTTTGTTAAGTATTAAAGTTATGCTGTTCTAATGAAGCGGTTTCGATAATAACCTTGGCTTATAGAGTTGGATTGGTGATTCACCACCTTGCAATATCCTATTCGCTTTGCTATGCCTATTTCTGTTACTTCTTGAATTACCATAATGGCAGAAAAATTTTGAATTTAAATGAAAGCTGATAAAAAGCAATAGAATATTTGAAGTGCCATCTCAAGCGTGACATTGAAAAAAAAAACTATTTTATTTCGAGAATTGAGCGCCTCCATTAGGGGTAGGCCTGCAATGTTTACGTCACCCCTGAGGACGTCATAAAAGTGAGTGACTATAGAAGTAATATAAGCAGAGCTCCATGCCACCAGCGTGGCGATTCAAAAGGCTCGTGTATTTGTACATACAGCTACAAAAGAGACTGAACGGTAAAATCAGAGACGGTAAGGGAGCCGTAACATTGTATAATTAACCTACCCTTCAGATACTGGGTGAATGGCTCACTACGGAGACGGCTAGTTCTTTTTTTCTACTTTTTATGAGGTTATCGGGTTATATCACCTTATTTTTCTCGAAACCGTCGGTAGGACCATGATAACAACAAAGACGTGAGGTGGCCACATCGATAAACTAATGATCAGCACACTACCGAGATAGCGATTTTTTAGTATTCACTACTCAGATATTTAGTTAAAAGATCGCAGGTTTTGCCCTTTTTTGATAAAAGTTGTCGCGTCGATAAATGGGTGCGTGAATTTGGGATTTATTGATAGGCTGTACAACTAGTCGGTGTACTTCAAACTATGCCTGCGCAAGATGGTGGAGAGAACCGTGGTGCTGAATATTCTCTCTTGGGGTGGGAGTGCCAACCCCTGGGGCCTGGACAGGGACAAGAGCTTCGCTCGACCCACGCACTACGGTGGCCTCCTAGAGGTGATAGGCATCTGCACCGTCCTTCATATGGGCTAAATTTACTCCGGCTTCTGCTCAGGCATTCGACTTACTCAGGCGGCTCACGTAAGACCTTTTGCTATTCTCTATATACTCCCAAAAGGAATTAATCCATCGTGACGAGCGCTCACTAACACAAAGCTCTTTAAGGGTACTCTCGCCTGAGGCTATTATTATCAGTTTGCTGATTAGTCACGAAAATAGTAACTGGATGTCACATCAATGAACCATAAACTGACAATGCATTTATGGAAGGAGAGATATTTTCCAGGGAGCAGTACCACCAAAAAGTTGGTTCCAAGGTGGTACGACATGCACAATCACATTGCCAACTCAGTCCGGAGTAGTTAGTAAAATGGACCAGTCGGGGAGGTGTTCCTTATTTATGAAGCAGATTATCATGTTCCCTCAAAGATCCCCCAACAAGCTGTCTTTAGACGGAGAAGTCCAAAATGTTCTCCTGTGCTAGACGACTTCCGAAGTACAATTCTGTGTTCAAATGTGTTTTTGCTAGATAATCATATCGTTTTAAGTTAAACACATTAAGGCGCGCATAGAATTCGCCTTTGTATTTATCTCATGATAAATGAGAGAGGTTCACCCCACCACCACCCTGTAACGATTTGGTTAACTATCTTTTGTTTGTGGAATTTGTTTAATTAATCAACAGCTAAGATGTAGAGCTTTAAAACAAAAAAGATGGTTTCCACCCTGTTTGGTGTGCTACTAAGGTAATTCAGTGAGAATGCGAGGCTCTTGCACCACGTTCAGCACTAATATGTTCGGCCAAGGAATGGATGAAAAAACACGAAGGATAAGTGTGCAATAAATATCGTGAATGTATAAGCACTATTCGCTTTTGAGGAGCAAATTGCTTACTCTGTAGGCCCAATTTCATCTGTCTCTTTTTTATCTATGCATATTTATTTGCCCGGACTCACATGCCTTGCACGTTTTTGCTGACCGTGTTTCAACGCCTCGCGTTTCTCACGCGTCGTTCAAGCTCTCCTTCGTTACTCATAGTCTCTTGATTTCAAATGCGCCTCCCTTAACCACCTAGTATAATACAATGATCTTGATTTACCAGCCTATACGAGTGTCCATTGCTTAGGACCTTTCATCTGCTTAAGTTGGCTTATGATTTTCGACATTTACTTCCGTAACTATTCTCTTCATTGGACAAAATTCACTCAACACTGTTAGCTCCTTAAACACTATATTGAGTGTCCTAACACAGAACATTCCCTTTGAATAATTTAATCAAACCTGTAGTGGTTGTATCAGCTACATCATTGTGGTATTTCATGTTTACCGCTTGTTTACTTGTAAACACTTTCATCTAATTTTTCGTCTATTTAGCTGAAGACTACATTAAAATCTAAACTACCAATTAAAGTAGGTGGAGAACCTTTTGTTCAACCACCTGGGCAATTGGCAATTCTACGCTAAGCTTTGAAGGCCATTCCTGATCTTTTTTTTTCAATTTTGCTACATTAACGGTTTACATACGCGTATGCTAAATTGTGAATTGCATGATCCTCTTTTGTATGAACATGTTCATTCACTGATATTTTTGAATTCAGTACGGTTTTATCTTGCCGATTAAACCATTGGTGCATTTGATAATAATGCCTGCTAAAATGTGGTAAATTTACATCCGCGTTAACACCAAAAAATGTTCGAATAGGTGGTAAAAGTGTGGAAGGAACAAAACTACATTCCCACTTCGTGCCCAAAAATAAACTTTTAAGCTAAAGTGATCCTGAGGTAAAGTGAGAAAGCGCTACCTTCTATGGAAACCAGAGCAGAAGGAGTTGCAAAAATAAATCCTACGTAGATAGTGTGTAAGGCGGGTCAATTTTGAATTCTTGGAAATTCTAAACGAAGAACAGTAAATGTCTTACAATGGTGCCTGGATGATGTCCTGACCACTAAGCATATTCGACGGATTTTTAAACAATTACTCTCAGCAGACTTTGAGATGAGGCTTGATCGTGCTACATCCTAAACAGCCAATGAGTTAAGCAGTATCAGGACCTTAGTTGAAGCTAGAGTTGGGTTGGTGTGATGAGAGTCTTTACGATTTGTTAAGAAACGGTACCACCTGTGTTGCTACCGAAAACGATACGAGTCGCGTGAGTCCAGACGTATGCTTGTTGTTAAGCCGCAAAAGGGATGGAAGGCTGACAGTACTGATGGCATAAGTAGAGCTTTACTTCACCGATATCGAAGCTGATTTGAAAAAAAAAGGGTCAAAAGATTTGCCTTAGTAATAGTTGCAGTTCAAGTGAGTGTCAATCTGCTACATAGTTGAGTGTTTTGTAGCACATCGTACTTAGCCTTCCCTTCGATTACCCTTCCACTTCAGAATTTAATGCTCAATCATCATTTTTCATGGATATCGTAAACGGTTCTTTTCCTGGACGCAGATTTATTCAAATCTAGTCTCTATTGCCAATTATGCTGCATAACTGTATTTCGGCGGATTCTGAAAACCTCAATGCTCTATAACAGATACTGTTTTTTTTGTAACATTATTTGTATAGCACCTGGCTGGTACATTTAATTGCACACCTTTGAACTATCAGCAAAAGCTGCCACATTATAATCAAGGAGTAAATCGTGTCGCGTACACCACACCATCGCCACTAATGTAACATCATGCTCGTCTGCCACGCCTCCTCAATTCCAAAGAAACTGTAGTGTATGACGCAGACTTCAATGGAAACTGCAGCTAATGGACAGGGTGAGTAGCAATGGCATAGCTCAAAGCACGAGATCGCTATTTCAATCCTTAAATTCTACAAAATATAGTAAATTAAAGGCGTTAGTTTTTATCCTCCATGTGTGAGAGATGTTTTATTTAGATTCTGATCCTTTTGAGAACGTTTATATCAGCAATGCGAAGCTTAGAGCCACCATTTCTCCACTTTATTGAAATAAATCCACCCATTTCTTTTATCAACCTATTTATTAATCTATGCACGCATTTGTCACATTTTCCTCTGGGTGTTCAATTCTATGCATTCAATCAACTCTCGAATAGGGTATCGAACTAGATACTTCTAAACCTTTCAAATTACTCACATTTGCGCACAAATTAAAAATTGCACCCAGGTTTATCTTGTTCTAACGTTATCCACCCAATTTTTTTCGGTTGAACGAATATAAAATAATCGAACTAAGAATGAGTCTTCTGCATCACTAGCCGTTTCACATCAACGGAGAGCAAAATAGAATCACAGTACTCTCATCTCTATCTCGGCAACTGAGCTAAAACGTATGAGCAGGGTCGACTCGAGTGAAAAAAAAACGTGGCTCGAAGACCGGCAAAAGTCTCCGCTGGTTCCCACATCTGCAATGCCTGCGATAGTAGGAACAACAGCGTCAGCAGGGGCGAGTACACGACCAGCTGACCCCATGTTTGCCTTCAGCAAGGAAAAACGAGGCCAGGGAGATGATAGTGAGGAGGAGGAGGAGGAGGAAGGGTGGGGGAGGACGAGGAAATGCAGGAGGCAAGGAAGTTTGGTACTCCCCTCCTGTGTGCTTGTAGAGGGCAACAGTCTAGGGACTGCTGCACTCCTTAACATCCCGGGCAAACCACGAAACATTCCTGTATCTTGACTTCTCTCTCCCCCTGTTTCTCGCGTCTCGCTATATTCTAGCTCCATTTGCACCCCTACCTGGTTTTGTGTATTCTCCCCAATGTGTGTAAAACACTTGTTTTCTGCATCGACTTAGCTGCTTGCATTTACCTTTATACGTGTTGGCCCTATGCGAAATTTGTCTAAAGCATCAAGAATAATCTGCTCCCTCACATGGGGCAGTAATCTGTGTGATTCTTTGTAGTCTTATTTGTTGCTGGTGTATTTACGCACGCCGAGTACCTGCTTGCAGGTACGTCTGCGCACAAATACATGCGTCTCGAATTGTATCGAGACGCTTTTGTTGAGGCACAATTCAAAACCAACAGCAAACAAATGGTTTGCATTTCTAAGGGTGTAAGACTGGTTCGTTTAGTCTGTGTGTGAGTTGAGATAACGGGGAATCGGTGAAATGCGATCTTTTCTCTAAACCGATTTCTGTTACTTAGTGGCATTATTACAAGTAGTGGGAAAGAAATTAATGTAATACGATAGTAGTTTATCCCTCGGCGTTGGTGAGGCGCCACCTTTGTACTTTGAATTAACCCCCCTGTACCTCGCTGGATGGACTGGCCTTTTGGGCCAAGCCATTAGCCCAGACACTTTCTCTGCGCTGAATATATATTCTGCCCGAGTATTTTGTCTTCTTTAGTCTTCAGGGAGTCCCGGGACGCTACATGAGAGTCAAGATCGCAACACACTGGTCATAAAAGAAGCGGCTAAAAATTGGGGACGGACCGAGTTGAATGAAACTGATGGTGAAGCAAAGATAAGATATAATTTTCAGAACGGGGTCCAATGGTGCCTGCATTAAACTCACCATAGGGTGATCGTGAATTTATGTACGGGACATTTCAGTCTTCAGGGGTTGAAGCTTTCCTCTGCAGCAGGAAATTTGGATCTTGTGAATAGTGCGCTTTTTTTCTGTACGATTTTGGTAACGAGCCACTTAGGGGCTCTACCTTTGTACCTATACCGGGCAGCCCGGCATCTGGGCCATGCCAGTAGCCTTAGATTGTACCGTAGGTCATCATTACATGTTCTGTCTGAGTTCAATGCCTTATTTTGTATTTAGGGGCGACTTGGGGGCTATACCTACTTTTAATTCTCCAGTCAATGGTAGGTCTCCAATTATTCATAGACGTTGCTGTAAAATAGCTGAAGCAAAAACCTGCGAATCCTGCAGTATAAAAAGTTTGAAGCACAAATCAATGTTATTAGTAGGTAAAGAGCAAGGATTTGCAATGCACAATAGATTGTTCAACATTTGTTTTAACACACAGGATGGGGCGGCCTTTCCGATTCAACTGAGTCTGTTTGCTGATTGTCGGAATGAGTCGCCCAGAACGGCCTGGCAAACGATTGAAATGTTTTGCGTCAGTAGACATGTTTGATATGAGCGAAATCCTTCAAAAGATTTTGCTCAGATATGCGGCGAATGACGAGCGTAAGTCGGTTGTTTGTGGCGAAAGGTTGTCAATGATCGACAAAAGGGCTCTTTTCGATCTCAAAGTGAGTTGGTGGCTCCTCTCGAATGTCTTTAGGTATTCGTTAAAAAGTATTTGAAAACAAATAGGAAGATGGTGGAGGTTAATGAAGAGCTTTCTAAGGACCTCTACGATGGAGTCGACTTCAACACTTTGAGGTCATCTCTGAAAGCCAGCCAGTTTTACGAAACAAAACTGTTAAGATCCCAAGATTTTATGGAAAAACACATTTCTGCAGTTTGTGGAGCATGTGTAAAGAAAATAGTGCTCAACCGTTCCGACGACGACGTTGTGAACAAAGTCACGAGTCTTTCCTTGGCAGCGTTAGTAGATGCACTGCTTATTATTTAAATTGTTTCCGTGAATTTTTTGTTGCTAACTCTTCTCATTGGACTATTTCAATTTTAGCGGGAATCACGAGGTGGTTTTGCCTAAGCAGGAACCAGTTTGTAAGTTCTTTGATGTCACCTTTTCTATGCACTCAGCCTATCTGTTAAACTTCTTGCTCTTGGCTTTTCAGATAATGAGCCCTGCTGCCGATATTGCGGGTCCACCTTTATTGGTGGAGGTCCAGTCTGCGGGGATTGCAGGCAGTTCTTAGATGAAACATGTTCGAGTCTGGACCGTCTTGAGAACGCTCTTTGCATTAGGGTCCCGACCTGTCGTGTTTCCAATCCTTTGCCGTCCAGTTCCACCAACCCTCAACCGATTCCCTCTACTTGGTGCACAGCTTGCAAGATTTTCCACTACGTTTCTTTAGGGTTTCGGCCGAAAATGTAAGTGGTCAGGAATATTTTTGTAATGTTTCCAATTATCTTAACTGAAATGGTCCATCTACTGATTCATGGTACTAGAAGCCACAAACGCAAACCATCTAACGCCGTTATTCTGCAATATCTCACGAGCGCTCGCCTCAGTCAACCCAGTCTCACGTGTTGGGCTCACTGTAGAAGATGTGTTGAATATTTTGCCTATAAATTAAGTTCGCCGTCTGCCATTCAAGGTTGCAGTCAAGATGATGCTGGGGAGTTAGCAAGTTTTCTCGATCGGCTCTGGTGTCGTGCTTCTCTCGTGAATAAATCACCGAATTTGATTAAGGTCACATCTGCACCCAAAGTGGCCAATAGAGAAAATGGAGTGGGTCCAGATGGTATGTGATAAATTTACTACATTTGCCACTTAATAAAACATTGAAATTTCGGTTACCCTCAATTTAGGTAGCCAATGGGATGCGACTTTATTCATCCTAACTACCTAGCTAACATCTTGGTTTTGGTAACGAGTAGTAGTTGCGTATTTGCAATTTTTACCGTGCTGTTATTGTTACCGGTCGTGTTCACTTTGTAATCGTGCTTTATCTTTCGTAGGTGAATAATATATTTTCATCCTTTTAGCTACCTACTCTGGTTGTGGTCTACACCTTGCAGTGTCACCATACACGCTTCCACTCAAGACTGATTATTTGACTTTTCCTGCGAATTGAAAAATCACGTCATGCCCTATTGGCTCAGTAAAAGAATGAAAATATTGTTTAAGTCATAAATTGAAATGAAATGGCGTCAACTTCAGTAATCACATATTTTTAGTGAAGCATTTCAAAGTTTGAAGTTTGAAAATACTGCGCTTTTGCTACGTTTTATCAAATCATTGATCAACCCATTGTAGATTCACTACGAAGTTTTGGAACACCAATGCTTCATGAGGGCGAAAATTCTGAAGAGCAGCCCTGTAGCCTTTGCTTCAAGGCTTATTCTGGTGTGTATGTAATCACACTGGGTCCAGGCAGCACCATTAAGAAGCCGGAGGTCAGAGCCTGTGGTGCTTGTGTTCTAAGGTGTCGTGCCTCGGCAATTCGGGTGGCCGAGACGTTCTCTGACATAAGGAGCGACGCATTGTGCAAGTGGTATAGCATCTTCACTGGAGCCTATTCTACTTGCCCGCCTCCTTTATGCGAGTGCTCCACTGTTAATGCTAAATGCGATTTTTGCTACCTGGCGGAGTGCATAATGTTATTTTACATCCAATTGAAATCAGAGGCGAGTGTGAAAAACAATACAAATGAGGGGCGAATGGGAGGTAAATTGCTAGCCCTTGGTTCGCCTCTCTTTTTCGCCTGCTGCCGATCACTTCCCGAGCGTATATCAAAAGATGTGGAACTTTACTCTAGGTAAATTGTCACTTGTCTCACTCGCCCTTCAAAAGAGGCTTCTAAAATGATCTACTTCTGTATAGAATCGTTAAGGAAAGTCCGGAGGAGACTGAACGACCCTTTTGCGTTCTATGCCGTGCAACATCACCTGCCCTCTTTCGGTTGGTAAACAACACAGTCATTTGCCAGGACTGTGTTCTTGGTTACAAGGCATTGCTTGCTTTGCTACCGAAAGGACGAAAGGAAGCATCATCTGACTTGGCTCTGTTCGCGAGGCTTATGGCTCTCCCCTGTCACCCTGACACCGATCACGAAGCCGGACAAGTTCCTCTGTGGGCGGTTTGTCTACCCTGCCACGCACGCAGGTGCCTACGCCTACTGCATCCTCTTGAACCCTGCCTTGATCTGCCCCAGTGGCTCAAACGTCGTGCTCGTCTTGTATTTTACCATTCCTCCGCTCCAAATAAGGACGTCAGTCTCTGTGATCTTGATCCAACAGTTTCGGTTTCTAAGGTATATTTTTTGCAGGGTTCTGATCTAATTTTTAGTGGGTAACGTGTGTTCTTGACTAGTTTCTGCAATTTTAAGAAAAAGCACAAAGGATCGAAGTTCTATTACGTCATAAAGACCTCTTTGGAACGAGTAAAGTTGTCAAAATGGGTGGAAACGGTTCCGGTCCCGGATGCACTGGTCTTTCCAGAGCCTAGCGGTGACCAGAGTTCCCTTGTCAATGATAGCACCTCTTCTTGCGCCTCATCCTCCCTCCGTGTTTCGTCCGAGTCGGATTCTGACGAGGAGCGGATTCAAAAGGTTGGTCTGTCGTTTTCTCATTATTAAACCCCACTCTCCATTGCTGTTTAATATTCATCTCACTTCTTTTTAGTCATCAAAAGCGTTAACAACAGAAAAGATGTCAGAGGTTGAACCAGTGTCCAGCTCATCACAGACCACTCTTCGAGATCGTCGAAGTCGCCGGCTTACAGCAAAGTACGCGGCGGCACTGGAGGAGCAGACACGACGTCGTCGGCAGAGGGATAACGATAGCGGAACTCTGGGTTCTCCGACTGTGACTCTCTCCATGGAGGAAGATGATGAGGAAAATCAGAATCGTCTGTGTGCGAAACTATCTGGAATGGACAGAGACTCACAAACTGTCAAGTCGCTCAAGAGGTCGAGACCGGGCAGTTCACCAGAGAACATTATCAAAGGAAAACGGAAGCCAAAAGCCAACGTAAGCATGAAAAGTATGCCAGCAGCGACAAATTCTGTTTCACCGCTCTAGTCAACTTTTTTCTTTTTGACATATTCGTCTAGTTGAGGCTGCAGGGCGACTATGCAACGCTAGGTCCGCAGGGCAAATGGGAGAGTGGGGGTAGGGTTTATTCAGAGTTTGACGATACTCGAAGCGATATTTCCTCTTCTACAATCTCCGTAAGTGGATCCAATCGTCGGCAACGACGACGTTCTCAGTCGACTGCACAGCAGAATCGAGGGGGTCCACGAGTTAAAGTGGTTGATCGAAAAACTGGTGAGTTTATTTCAAGCCCAATTCCGGTTTTTTAGTCACTTTCAGCTCTTCATTTATAACTATATGGTTGGGGTTTGGCGTGACGAAAGGGTGACAAATAGTTTGCTTTATTTAGACGAAGAGTTGACTAGGGATAAGTTTAATTTAAAGCTAGGAAAAGGTTCGCATGTATGGTAATGTGGTAGAAAGCAACAGATTTGAAGTAAAAATTTGCCCTTGTTAGTAATGGAAAGCCTTTAGATGCGCTCGTATTCTTTCTGCACAGCGCACTTGCCTGGTACTACTTGTTTTTCTATGTGTACATAAGTGAAATTGACGCCACAGTTCTGCTATTCATATTCAAAAAAAAAGATTTTCTGGCTGAGGAAACTCAATCGTTTGCGATAGGAATGAGGCATGGTGACTTTGGTGGATTAATTTCTTCAATATTAGAATCGTATTATCTGTTCTCCCTTGCGCTTAAAATCGACTACCTACGAACTCAATTAATTATGGTTCTCTAGGATTTCAATTATTCGTTCAATACTAATAAGTGATGGAAGTCATAGCTTACTATTGCCATGTTTTTTTTGCAACCTAGCTTTGGGCACTCAGTACAGTAATCCAATGTTGGTCATGAAGCACGCAGCCAAACTGGCGGCGGTTGGAGCCCAAACCCAGGATGGCACCAGCCCTCTGATGGCGGCTTCTGCGGCCACTGCCGAGGCCTACTTCTCCGATGGCAGCTCTGCAGATGGCAGCAATCGTTTGAGACCTGATTGTGGAAATTGCGCTGCCTGTAGGGGCATGGTTGCACCTTGTGGACGATGCCACAATTGCAGGTAATGCTCATTTTATTTTGTCATTATTCCCTTTTACTCTAGTTGCTTGAATGTTCTTTGTGTTTGCTTTGATTTTAGGCAACAGGCTCATTACGGGAGTGGGGATTCTGGAGTTAGGCGTCTTCCGTGCATGTACAGTGCCGAGTTTAGTTTATTTTTTAGAAATTTCCTTTCAGCTAAATTAGCTTGTTGTTTACTGTCTTCCAGTGAGACAATATGCCATAGAAGAAGACACTTGGTAACTGCAAGAGGTGAAGGACCACGAGTAAGTCTTAACATTTATGGGAGGCAGCAGCGTGCTGTGATACGTACTATCCCAACCGTATTATGATAATTGGAAACCATGATGAATATTTTGCTAGAATTCACGGAGTGACCGATTTATTGAAATAAAGCAGATTCGACTGATATTAAACCTCGTTTTCCTACTTTATTGATGGCTTATTCTATTTGAAGTATTTTCGAAACAAAGTTTTAACCCCCACTCATGGTTAAGCGAAATTCATGCTTGTGGACTAATCTTGTTTCATGAAATGTCTAATCGTTGTACAAATATTTTCCTGCTTGCCCAAATCGGCTTATCTCGATTTGCTTACCTGGTGGTTCATGAACTCAATGCGACGCATTGAATTGGCCGTATGCTAGAAAGTTCCTCCACGAACTTGTGCGCGCAATCTAAATAGTAATTTGTTTTCACCCACATGAAACGAATGCTGACTCAAAATAACTATGGCTTTACGTAGCACAGCATATTTAATGAACGGACGTGTATTTTGGCTAACATGTCTGACATTCATGTTTTCGTCTAATTCGAAGTCACGGTAATATTCCCTTGGATCTGAATCGTCACTGAAGGGATGTTTGCTAAATCCTTTAGTGAACTCCCTATTATACTGGTTAAATTTTGATCATTTATTGACGTCCACTATTATTTATCTGTTTGCAAAGGTAAAAATACCAGTGAATTTCTCGGCGCGCTCTTATCAGCGGGCCCAGAGGGCCATGAAACACGCACCCCCACCACCCGGACCAGCACCACAGCCCTCGCTCCTCGAGACTGTTCCTGGCCTGCAGGAACAGCTCATGAGTGGCTCCTCATCAAGAAGCAGCGCAGGGCTGACCCAACCCTCTAACGGCCCAGTACCGGTAGACTCCACGTCTTCGGCGATCCTGCGAGTTGAGCTCGCCGCCTCAGCATCCACCAGCAACCTCGAGGTTTTTGCTGACGCTCCCGTCCGCTCGCTTCGCGGTGGCGACCTCGGCATGCATTTTGCTCCTCACGACTCCCACAATGAAGAGGCCTTAAGTCACACAATAGCGCCTGTTGAAGGCGAGGTCATCGATGGAGACATCGCTTATCGTGGTGGCTTCCCTGTTGTCACGTCTTCGATGTCGGCTCCACCGAAAGCGATTTGCTACTTGTGTGGTTCTGCTGGTGTGGATGTGAGCTTATCGCTTTTTATGTGCTTATGAGTTCAAATTGATTTACCTCATTCGACGTCTCGCACTTCATTCTTTGCTTTTCAGCTGCGTACTTGTGTGTCCTGTGCGGAGCCTTTTCACCCTTTCTGCGATAGGCATCAGTCTCTTCCGAAGGACAAGAATTCATTTCTTTGCTGCAACTGTATTAATTGTGATGTGTGCGGCCAAACTGCTGTGGAACTCCGCTGTTCTGAATGTCTCTCTGGCTTCCATCCAGGCTGCCTACCAGATTATGCGCCCGCTGAGGTCAAAGAGAGGGGAAAGTGGGTACGTACTTATTGGCCAAGGATAGGAGAGGGGGCTAACAGGCAGTGATGTTAGTGATAACTGATGATACCTCCGCCTTCGGCAGGTGTGTCCAAACTGCACAAAGTGCGTGCACTGTCTGGTTAGCCCGCGGGACCGAGAGATAGCCGTATGCCGTATGGGCAACGAGGACGCAGACATGGTGCCGTGGTCGCGTGATCCAGCCAAGTGCGCGGCCTGTGCGATTGCCGAGGCGAGGGGTCACATCTGTCCGCAGTGCAACCGAACTTACCTCGATGAGACCGTTGAAATGATTGAGTGCGACTCTTGCCATCGCTGGTTACATAGGGCCTGTGCAAAGCTCAGTTGTGAGTGGCAGCGAAGTCGTGTGCTACACTCATGCTTCAATCACGCGCTTATAATAGTTTAATTCAAGTTAAACATCTTGCTTCTTTTCTGTATCTTATGTTGTTTGTCGAATACCAACTAACTACTAACCATGGGGTACATAGGTACACAGGGTGCTTAAGGATAATGGTGATCGACGCATGATGTAGCCGAGCAATGAAAAGGGGCAATTTCCTTACAATTATTTGTTGTGCCTCGAGAAGTATGTAAAGACCTCTCAGTGTATTCATTAAATGTTGAAGAACCACTTCCCTCTTGGATCTGGACTTATCCTGCATATTGCTTTATGGTAGTTCTAGTTTCGTTAGGCATATTTTTGCTTATTTTCGACATTTGGGAGCCTAGTTATCATGCCGAACCAGCGTTAGGCGCCGTTGTGTTTAAGATCCATCTGCTTAATGTACTGCTTGGCATAACAACGCTTAAACTTCACAGTATGAAGTGCAAAAGCTGTGCTCGATGGGGCAGATCGGAAATTTTTTTACTTGCTGGTGTTGAGTTTACTATTACATAACATGTTTACAAAGTCGATTACGTTTGACAACTGTCGGGGAATAGGGCTGACGTGTAGTTTTAGATTGGGTTTTCCCCCATCTGCTCATTAACTTCAAGTGCTCGATAATTATTTGTTTTCGGAACATAGCGCTTTTCTGGGCCGATTTAGTCGGTTCACGGTATATCATTGGCGGTCTATTTTTCTTAAAGATGACCAGTATGAATTAATTGCGAGGGCCCCTCCAAATCAGCTACGTTCCTTCACTATCTACTGTTCTCCTTGCAAACAAAGTATCGCCACGCATTCTGCTAAGGCCCACCAAGTCGATGACGATGAGAAGCTTCGTCGTATTACCAGAGAATCCCTCACAGAGCGCATGAATACTCTCATTGAGGGTTGCAAGGCCTTCCCTCATGAGCCAATCGCAGGTCCATCCACACACCTTTCTTTTGCATCACCTCAACCAACTGACCACAAAGGTGTTGATCACAGCGGCGCAGCCGTAACCTCGTTGCGTGAGTATATCGACGATGATCACCTTCCTCAAGTA